TATACTAATCTAGAAACATTTTCAGTTTCAAAATATATAACTACTCATTATATATAACATACGTATTGTGATTTGTTTCATTTTTGCAAGAAAATTTCCAGCAACTTGTATACTTGTCCATTAGTATTTCCCTCTAATATATTAGACACGCTATTTTGATATGTGACTAGATAAGATTTAAAAAAAAAAACCATGTTTGTACATTTTAACTTGTTCTGGCACACAGGAAGGAACTTGGAAAAAAAGGTATGGCAGTCAGCTTGTTAATTAACTGATTCTTTATTCTTATTCTCACACCTTGTGTGAGAGAATAAGTAAAATAAAACATTGACTATTAAATTAACTATGAAGCTCTTGGTTTTTATATTACATAATGATATAAATACTATTCTGATTTGCCTGTCACATGTATCTTTGATATGTACAGTAAATTCTGGTGTAATTACTCATGGTTTTTCATCACTCTTGCTGATGAAGGGTCGTAGAAATATCCCAGTTGCCAATAAAATAGTGTTTTTTAAAGTCCATTATGGAAGTTCTTTCATTGTTTTTCTATATTTTGTCAGAAAAAATATATATGTGTGTGTATGTATATATGTAATTAGATTTATATGGCACATAACACCGAGGTTTCTATGCACTGATACAACTTAGCATCCACCAATTCCAAAGGATATTTCAATGCTAGGATGACTTTCAGCTGAAAGGTATGAAGCTCTTTCACTCAAAAGAATTTATTAATCCAGAATTTGGCCATAGAGTCATTTCGCAGTGTCAGTTCACCCTCATTGTGGTATCAGTGGCCTATCAATATGGTAGTACTGACCACATTCAAATATAATATGAAGTGCTTTATGGTAATTTACTTGATATATGTTGTTAAAAAAATACAGTGTACACTTAATTAGTGTGATTGCAAGATTAACATTGTCAGCAAAAATTAATGTGTTATGAAGAATAATATGTATCAGTAAAAAATTGGTGGGTAATAAATTGCGGCCACTGATGTATATACAGTATGCCTACAGTAATGTATATGTTGTTTTATTTAATTTCATTTATTTATACCAATTTATAGAGAATTATAAATTATTTATTTTTTCAATTTCATGTTGCCCTTGCCCTATTGATCAAAACAGCATTCAAGATCAATCACACGATGACCATGTTTTGATCTAAAATCTTAATGAAACGTTGTTTTTGAGGAACACCATGTTTTGTCAAAAGTTATGATTCATAACACAATTCGTAACGCAAAGTGGCAACATTCGTTGCCGTGGTGTAAAATCAAAATAAAAAATTTTGAACAACCAGGGCGACCTGAAATAAAATTATAACTTAAACATAACAAGATGAGTGTTTTTTTTATGCTATTGCAATAGGGCCCCTTAAGTCAAACCTAGCCTAAGCCAAAATGACAGACCTCTAGCCCATATTAGGTAGGTCTCTCTAGTGTGCGACGGCTAGGCGTAGAACAAAGGTCAACGGACGACTGCTAGGCCTATTAGTAGTACGGCTACAAAAATCAATCTAGCAGCTTAACATAAAAAGGAAAATCATAATTATTAGTCATTATTTTTCTGTAAAATAAGTATTAATTTCAAAGCGGGAGTTAAATCATGGTAGGCCTAGAACTGTTACCTTGACTGTATAGTTATGGGCGAATAAATTTGTTCCTGATCGCACATGAAGATCTGCACAACGTAATGCGCTTTATTGACCACGGTGTAACTAATGTTAAATATGGGTTAGTTGTTGGTGCTTTTTAATGCGTAGTATGCACAGTTCCATAACACAGTTCCTTTTAGTACACTGCAAACTTTTATTCACACAAACTGTACGTTACGTGGTTACAATCAGCTAAACGCCAGGTTTCAGATGTTAGAGAACCCTTTTTGAGTGGAGTCAGCTCAGCTCTGTACTTTTCTTCTGTGTACTCCTAACTACTAAATTGAATCTAACTACTGACTCAGTGATATGGGGGTGTTTGCCTATTTTACTTCAGGTAATGGGGGTTTGTCTCAAGTTATAAGTCACCTCATACTTATAGAGTTTCTGATTGGATCATAGAGAAATTCTTTCTCTATGATTTAGTAACTTGTTTACCAAAAAACTGCTAATTAAGATGTATCACAAACTTCAGAGCTTAGGCTCAAAACTGACAATCATACTGTAGCCTAGATTCATAATGTGAGAAAGGCCAAGTCCAACTGACTAGGGTAAGTTATACAATGTCCAGTTATATTATTAGATTATCTGTATACTCAAGTTGACCATTACAACTGTCAAACCAATTTAAGGCATTTATCAGGTGAAGGGTATCGATTCCAATGGTTATGCAAGTTAATACCATTGAACCTTAATACTACATTACATTCCTTTCAATTATTTTTTTTCTTTTTTTTTTAACATCATAACATAAAGGTAAAATGTACTACAGTGTGTAGTAGGCATAAAGCATATATATATATATATATATATATATATATATATATATAACAATTCATTTAAAAAAAATTAAATCGTTAAACATAAGAAATCATAGCATATAATACAAGTGGTGCAAGATGAATACGTGTCAATTTCCATCATTTACTCATATTTACTCTCTCTTTCTCTCCATTCTTTTTTCTTAAAAAATACAAATGAATAACATTTTTGATTTTCGAGGCTAATCAATCTAATATGGTTTTTTGCATGTGTCTTAGTCATCGATTTAACATTAGATTGTGTTTAAACGTCTAGGCTTGCCATATCCGACGTAATGTAACTTTATGAGAAGGAACTTAAATTAACTGTTATTTAACTTAACATTATTTACTTTACTTATTTCCTAAAAAATCAATTGCTTCTATTACACGTAGACTTGAATTCATCTAGTCGTGTTTACTAGCAATACACATATGCACTTTAACTCGTTATCGTTTAATATCATCACGTATTTCATATAAATCATTTATTAGTATACCTTTATCATACATTTATCCTAAGCATTTCATGACAAGTAAAATTATCTAAATTTGGATTATTTGTACCCATGTATTTATATTCAGTATTCATTTAAACTGACGCGTTTAAAGCTTAAATGATAATTGATATAAATAAATTAATTTAATAATTTTATTAATTTACTGGCCAGAAGTTTTTTTTAATTATAAAATGTTTAATTGATATGACTTGGACGTGTAAAGAGGAAGAAATTCTTCGATTATAATATGTGATGATAACCATTCACTTACTAATTGCACCACTCGTAAACGCACTTCAAAATTCGAGAACGTTGAATTTTATTTACTTATTCCCAAATTATACCTGGGTGGAGTTCTGACAAGTTCCTGCTTTTAGATTTCAAAAAAGTACATTTTATGGCACACCAAAATATATTACCGCTGGTATTTTTAAGTTTTATAATGTAGTGGTGTTTATTAATTATTTGATTTTTTACGTTTCTTGGGTATTGAAATAAATTACCGTTTCGACATCGTTATTCTCGACCGATGGCCAGGACCTATGGCCGGCGCAGTATAAACCATACCTGGGTGGAGTTAACACTAGCAATTTTAATAACCTAGGAATAACCTAGGAAAAAAATGTCGTTTTTTGGTATAGGTGTCCAGGGAGTAGTTTCCCGGCAACTATTGTAACTACTTTGGTGTTACATGGTTACATGTCTCATACATTTAACAGTAACAAACGTGTGCTGTGTGTAGGGCCAGTCATTGATAGCATACATGGTAACTTCCTGTGAGTTACATTGTCTCTAAACAAGTAACTGTATGCGTATCCGGTGTGAAAACACATTACAAAAACAATTGATTTATATAAAAAATGTTTAGATTTTATTTTAAAATGATTGGAGACTAATAAGAAGCTTATCACGAACATGTACTGTAGGTTAAAAGTATCTGCAGTAGTAATAAACATCTGCAGCGGCAGATTCAGCCAGTTAAGGGGAGGGCGAATGCATGTACTAAGCAGGCAAGAGTCTTGGTGCAGAAGCTATCGGGGTGTAAGGATCTTTCTTGAAGCTCTTGCACTTTCGTTAATTTGATGTATTTTATAATTTTTTTTTTTTTTATTAGAATGGCAATATTCCATAATATTTACATTTTTTTAACAAAAGAATAGAGGGGACGTACACCATTCTAAATCTTCCACTAAATCTGTAACATTAAGTGAACATTTAAATGAATACCAAACTAATACCAATCACATTAATTAGTGCATGTAATTTCTTCATTGAAAAATTATGCCACAAATCAGAATAGAGCGACTGTGCCAATTACAAGAACGATATTCGTTTGTGTATGTAGTTTGTAAAATGTGTAAATCATTCTATAATGTAATTACTAAGGATTTGTGTTATATTTTTTTTTATAATAAATCATATTGAAGTTCAGTAAAGTTGAAATGCCTGTTGTGTCATGGCCAATATTGCTAAGATGTGTCTAAGAGACAGTATATATATATATATAAATTTATTATAACAATTAATTTGTATTATAATTAATTGTGTTGGGGCTCCTTTTCTTTTATTATAAATAGTGGACCTCTTTTTATTGTGACTAGCAAACTTCTTTTTCTATGACTAGCCGCATCTTTTATCTATTATGACAAGCGAACCTTTTTTTTTATATTATGAATAGCAAACCTTTTTTTTATATTAAAAACAACGAACCTCTTTTTTTAAAAATTATGAATAGCGAACCTCTTTTTTTAAAATTATGAATAGCGAACCTCTTTTCTTATTATGAATAGCGAGCCTTATGACTAACGGTCCTATTTTCTATTATAAATAACGAACTCTTTTCTTGATTATGACTAATGAACCCTTTATTATGACTAGCGAACTTGCACTTTCGTTAATTTGATGTATTTTATAATTATTTTTTTTTGTATTAGCATGGCAATATTCCATAATATTTACATTTTTTTTACAAAAGAATAGAGGGGACGTACACCATTCTAAATCTGCCACGGAATCTGTAACATTAAGTGAACATATAAATGAATACCAAGTTAATACCAATCACGTAAATTAGTGCATGTAATTTCTTCATTGAAAGATTATGCCACAAATTAGAATAGAACGACTGTGCCAATTACAAGAACGATATTCGTTTGTGTATGTAGTCAATATTTACTTCAAAACAATGGACAAATAATTTTCTAATGAGAAACAGACACTAATTACAAACCTATTGGGCTTGCAGGACTTCGGTCACTGTACAACAGTCGGCAGAGTCTTCTCAGTCCTAGTTTATCTAACGTATGTTTGAAATCATCTAGTAACTTATCATCATCTGCCAGTATGAGATTATTTTCCAAGTCCATTATAAGTGACCACTTGTCACTGTATTGGCCAGGAAGCTCATAACGCTGTGCAATCAACCTGATGTCATGGTCGATGAGTTGCAGTCCAAAGGTCATCACAGACTGCCTGAACTTAGAGAAATGAGTGATCTTGATATTATCAAGGCGTGGACAGTTAGGGATGTGTTTCTGCAAATGGAGTACACTGGTGAGGTTAATGGTCTCCAACAGAATACTTATATCATCTGCCTTTAGTATGGCAGTGTCCCTCAGAGCATTAAACAGCTCAGTTGCCTCTGCTGCCTTATGTACAGTATTTGCATTCTTAATTTCATCTTTGAGGGCCACTTTCCATATGTTAAGATCTGTACCGATGCTCTGTGAAACTGTTAGAAGCACCCTAGGAAATACTGACTCATCTACTGCAAAACCTGCAATTATCATAACATCAATTTTGTTAATCACTTTTATTTGTTATACTTTGTATTATACAGTAAGTTTTAACACTGTGCCATTGCCAACATGGCTGTTTCCCCCCCACTCCTGGTCTTTTGTCAACCAGACAGTTGTTAAATGTAGGTGGTCGTTGTTCTATTAACAGAAAACCTTTTTAAAGTATGAAAATAATGTCGCACGTGTTGGATCAAAATCTTTGCCGGGCCATAGTTGGCAAGCAGGCTGAATACCAGAGACCTTGGCTTTTATGAATTGTTTCATGTCTAATGATTGCTACATAAATGTTCATATTATTATTCATATATTTTTTTTAGCTGCATTTAATTGCTGTTGATGTTTTAATCCGATTCGCTGATACTGATTCCATTAAGTATTTCAAGTTTTTTTTTTGTTTATAACTTATAAATACAATCACAATATTTAATTATAATCTCTGTTCAACTAGCTTAACACAAAAGCATTAAATTACTTTTAAATATTCAAGAAAAAAATAACACTAACAGATTCAAACAAAAAATCATGTAAGAAACAATAATAGTAGAAATACATCACGGAGGCAAACAACTTAAGTGGTGTTGGTGGGCCTAGATGTGTATAAGAGCCATCATCACCCCTATTTCTAGACTTCTAGATACGCTGCTGGGTGGGCACTAAATAGTGTAGGGTGAAAACCAGGTGGCAATAGGCACTGGACAAGATGACAAAAAACTGAGTTCCAAATGGTGTAAGACAGCAAAGAACAAACCAGATACCACCAATAGCCAATAGGCTAAGTGGCAATAGGTATAGTAGAATGTTGTGTAGCAATATTGGCCATGACACAACAGGCATTTCAACTTTACTGAACTTCAATATGATTTATTATAAAAAAAAATATAACACAAATCCTTAGTAATTACATTATAGAATGATTTACACATTTTACAAATATACCATTATAGCAATAACAAATAAATGTTTGAAAGAAAAATGTATTTAAACAAATAATTATGTAATAATCCCTACCTAGAGTTGACACTTGAGCGGCTTTCTTGAAGTCTTCTTTTTGGGCTTTAGGAAAGAAAAGGAACAGGTTCGCTAATTATAATAGAATAACAGGTTCGCTAGTCATAATAAAGGGTTCATTAGTCATAATCAAGAAAAGAGTTCGTTATTTATAATAGAAAATATGACCGTTAGTCATAAGGCTCACTATTCATAATAGGAAAAGAGGTTCGCTATTCATAATTTTAAAAAAAAAGAGGTTTGCTAGTCACAATAAAAAGAGGTCCGCTATTTATAATAAAAGAAAAGGAGCCCCAACACAATTATTTGTAATACAAAATAATTGTTATAATAAATTTATATATATATATATATATATATATATATATAATTTATTATAACAACGGCTTTAGGAAAGAAAAGGAACATTATATTTTTCATTTGTATCAACTTTTTTTTACTTTCTCCAACAAATTTATTATACCAACAAAGCTCATATTATCATTACGAAAATATCAACATTAAGCATCAAATTACCGTTATTGCATAGGTTTGATAAAAACCCCCAGCAGAAAGCCATATAAAATTTGGCAAAATTTGTCATCTTTCGCACTGATGATGAGAATCGTTTTCTCGAAACATGTTTGCTATACGATCGGGCTCAATGAGTCCGCGATCACGATTAAAGTCTATTACTTGCTTTATAAAGTGGCTTGTGGTGTTTTTACTTATACGGAATTTTGGTGGCATAATTCAGATTATTTATATTACATATATTACAGCAATATGATATCATTATAAATATACAAGAAAAATTACACAATACTAATGTGGACCCTGGGAATAAAAATACACAAATGCTCGTCAATGAACTAATCACCAAAAGAAGACTACGCTAATATGGCCATGTAAAAACGAAAGAAAACTACATGAAAGAAACTACATGAAACCCACATAGTGTACTTGGATCCCTTGGAAATAGAAGCCGACAAAGAGAAGACCAGTTAAATGCTGGGAAGATTTTGTGAAGTTAGACTGCTAAACCAGAGGGCTCATGTTTCATGTCAAATGTATGCAGGGAGTGTCAAGGTAGAAGAATGTGGCTACACATGAATCAGAAGCCATCAAACACTCAGTAGCTGGAGTGAACACTTGGCCAAATTATGTACTCAAATTGTTTGGAAAGTTTTTTTATCTAATCCCACCCTCATCGGGGTCCACTCGCAAGTCATAAGGTTCGCTATTTATAAGGTCCATTGTTCATAAGGTCCGCTAGTTATAAGTACAATTGTTTATAAGTTTCACTATTCATATTTTTTTTAAAGTTCACTATTCATAAAGCTTATTATTTATAAGGTTCGCTAATTATAATAGAATAACAGGTTCGCTAGTCATAATAAAAGGTTCATTAGTCATAATCAAGAAAAGAGTTCGTTATTTATAATAGAAAATAGGACCGTCAGTCATAAGGTTCGCTATTCATAATAAGAAAAGAGGTTCGCTATTCATAATTTTAAAAAAAGAGGTTCGCTATTCATAATTTTTAAAAAAAGAGGTTCGTTGTTTTTAATATAAAAAAAAGGTTTGCTATTCATAATATAAAAAAAAAGGTTCGCTTGTCATAATAGATAAAAGATGCGGCTAGTCATAGAAAAAGAAGTTTGCTAGTCACAATAAAAAGAGGTCCACTATTTATAATAAAAGAAAAGGAGCCCCAACACAATTAATTATAATACAAATTAATTGTTA